CGGATCTCTGTGAGTTCGAGACCAGCCTGGTCTACAAGAGCTAGTTCCAGGACAGGCTCCAAAAAACCACAGAGAAACCCTGTCTCGAAAAACAACAACAACAACAACAAAAATAACATTTTCGTTTTATCAGGTGACCCATAAAAATAATAAGAGGCCAGGCATGGTGGTGCAGGTCTTTAATCTCAGCACTTGAAAGGCAAGTGGATCTCTGTGAGTTCTAGGCCAGCCTGGTCTACATCATGAGTTCCAGGATAGCCGGGGCTACATAGAGAGAGCCTGTCTCAACAAAATAAAACAAAAGCTAAAATATTTCCCCTCCCTTCTTCCCTCCCTCCCTCCCTCATCTCAGATTCTCAAACTGTGAATGGAATATTGAATTTACAGCACAGTGTGGTTGGGTCCAGCCTGCTTGCAAGTGACCAAAGGCACTGAATTATCAACTGTCCTGCACTGCAGCCCAGAACCTGGGCGTTTTCCTCATTCTTTGACCAGCAGGTCTCCCTTTCCTCCTCTTGTCTCTCTCTCTTGAAGTTTTTTCTCTCCCTGTCTCGGAAAGAAAACAAGTCTCCTCGGTTCTGAAGCCCTCTGTCCAAGGTCCCTCTTTGGACCTATAACGGGGGTGGGGGGCTTTCCTGTTTCTGGGGACATACTAGTAATGACACCTATTGATCCCAACGGTAGAGACGCTCGGAACCTCGTGGAAGCAGCCAGTTCTGGGGCTGCCATCTCAGTGAAGGTCGTCGCCAACATTGCTGCCAACCTGATCGCCATCCTGGCTGTCCTGGCCTTCATCAACGCCGCCCTTTCCTGGCTGGGGGACATGGTGGATATCCAGGGACTCAGCTTCCAGGTGTGGCTGTGGTGGAGGGGAGGGTCTCGGGATAGGGAACGGCGGATGGAGACCCTGTCTGACCCAGATCTCTTTATCCACAGCTCATCTGCTCCTACATCCTGCGGCCTGTGGCCTTCTTGATGGGCGTGGCCTGGGAGGACTGTCCAGTGGTGGCCGAGCTGCTGGGCGTCAAACTGTTTCTGAATGAGTTTGTGGCCTATCAGGAGCTTTCCCAGTACAAACAGCGCCGCCTGGCAGGGGCTGAGGAGTGGATTGGTGACCAGAAACAGTGGATCTCTGTGAGTGCTCCATTCCTTCCTGGCAGCGCGGGGATGGCCCAGCATTCCCTGGGGCCCCTGGCAACTGTTTTTGTGTTTCTCTGAGCCTGCCAGAGACACACTGGGGTGACGCTTAAGCACCCATATCCTGCTCTCCGGGCAGACCAGACAGACAGACATCGGGGCCGCACTGTGAGCTCTGGAAAGAGATTTGTCTGAGACCAAGTTCCAGATGGGCCACTGCTAGCTTTGGCCCTGCGTGAGCTGCTGTGTTGTGCCTCTCTTTTGGAAAACAGGGATGTAACGCCTGCCACCTCTCCTCCAAAGGGGCATGTGGGATTCCCCAGTGAGCTAAAGAACGAGTGAGCTGGGAGACCCTCCACCTCAGTCCCTGGTGATACACACGGTGTAGGGCTTGGCTTATTTCGTTGGCATTTATTCTAAAAACACCCCCATGAACAAAATGACACAAGGCCTATGACATTAGCCTTTCTGCAAGAATACAAAGTCAGAACATAATGTTGGGAATTACAGGTACGAGCCTCCACGAGAACATCTTTTTTTTTTTCCCCTAAGACAGAATTCACAGTTACTATAGGCCTACAGCGTAGCCAGCTTTCTCCCTCATCTTTAAGACGTATGTAGATTTTTATTTTCAGTGTTGGAGATGGAACCAGGCCCTTGTTGTACATACTAAACACTGAGCTACACATTTGAAATTTATGTCCTCTCCCCCATTTTTTTTTTTAAGAGACAGGGCTTTTCTGTGTAGCCTTGGCTGTTCTGAAATGTTGAAATAGGAGCGGCAGGGCTGCGTCCCCAGCACCCGGCCGCCCGCATGGCTAGCTTATGCCCCGAAATAATTACACGGAAACTGTATTCTTTCAAACACTGCCTGGCCCGGCTAGTTCCAGCTTCTTATTGGCTAG